TATTAAAGAATAGCCATAAGTTATTTACCTTGATTATAAATAACGAGTAAACGTGCGAACACGCGTTTCGAGTACACATAAAATACATGATTCCTAACAGTGCTATGAATGGAAGCATTGATTCAATTATTGCGAACTTTCACTGCTTTGCATTTGAGAGCACTGTTAAGGACCTGTGATTTTAGGCTTCACTCGAAACGCGTGTTCGCACGTTTACTCGATATTTATAATCAAGGTAAATAACTTATGGCTATTCTTTAATACAGATATAAAAATTTCATTATCCCTGAACATTTTGGTATATTTTTTGTTAAAATTGATTAATATTTAGTATTTTTAATTTAGGAAAGAAATAGTTTGTTTATAATTGATCACAGTTTATAATATTTTTTAGAAATACCAAACGAGATACGAAATAATTAATATACTGCTAATTAGAAACCACCACATAATTGAAGTTAATTTAGTTAAAATAAATATGTTTTAAAGTTGTTGCTTTTTATACTAAAGATCCTATTACAAATCATTTTTATAAATTTCAAAACAATTTGTACTAAAGATACTATTACAATTCATTCTATAAATTTCAAAAATATATACTAAAAAACATTACAATTTATCTTTATAAATCAATTTATCAATAATAATTGGTATTTTTCTATTTTAAAGCATATATAAATAATATGATATCATTTTAATTAACTTTTGTGGTCAACGCAAATACATTATACTAATAACTAAAGCATCCAAATCAAGGTGGTCAAAAGGCCTTTATAGTCACTATCAAAGTTACCAAAAATTGGTCAAATATTTAGTTAAATTGTTATTTATTTTTCTAAAGTTTTAGGTATAATCCCTTTATAATTGAATAGTATGACAAATAGTTTGCATTATTTATGAATTTTGACAACTAATTAACTATATTCATCAATTAACTCGTAAGTATAACCATATTTTAGTCACTAAACAGGTTTAAATTAATATCAAAAGAAAATTTGATTTCTAATAAACTAAATGGGGAACCTCGTTTAGCAAATTGTGCCAGGATAATCTGCATGAACATAAACTCTATGATCATATCTACCATTTGAATTGATTAAACTTTCCGAATACCACCAACTAATCCCGTAAATCCAATTATAGTCACTGGTGACATGCACATTTTACATATTAAATAGCATTATAAATATAAACGGCACTTCACCAATACTTTGACCGCAATTATTCGACAGATTTTAATACAAATTGTGATTATATTTACAAAAAATATAAGTCTATGAATTCATATAAAAATATTACTGTATGATGAATAACAATCCATATTTATAATGTTATTTTATATGTAAAATGTGAATGTCACCAGTGACTACAAGTGGATTTACGGGATTAGTTGGTGATATTCGGAAAGTTTGATCAATTCAAATGGTAGATATGATCATTGAGTTTATGTTAATGCAGATTATCCTGGCACAGTTTGCTGACACCTAACGAGGTTTCCCATTAAGTAATATAATGGCTTTAGTATATTTGTAGAATTACAGTATATCCTGTATTTGTATGAAATATAAATCAATTAATTTTAAAGTTTGTTTTATTCATTAAAATAATTATTTTTATAGTGTCTTAATTTGTACCATTTTAGCCCTAAATTATGCATAAAATCTAAAATTAGATTGAATTTAGTTTTAATTAGCTGGCACAATACAATTATGACCTTTTCTCTATACCCACAAACACTGTCGGGAAATGTCAACCGGAAGGACCTTTTATGCCGAACGGGAACCTCCGTGTGAGCGGTCCTATAGAACCGGAAACGCCATACAATGTGGGCGACGGCCGCCTTAACCTCGAGTAACGCGAACCGAATGTAATTGCGAGGCCCGGCCCCAAAGGGCAGGTATGTGTAGGGCTCAACCAAATGCCTGTTACACGGCATAAATCTATTCGGGTTAAAATGCTCCGGGTCCGGGTAAAAGTCCGCGCAGTGGTGTATGGCGTGTATAGGTATGTCCACCTGTTGTCCCGCTTTGATGGTAATCCCAGTATCGCCTAATGTAGTCTTGAGAGGCCAGTCGTGTCACCCGTTGGGACGTACTGTGCAGTCGTAGGGTCTCCGAAAGGACGGCGTCTAAATAGGGTAGTCGTGGCAACCGATCGTATGGAATGTCTCCGGTGTCCGGATCGATGGCATCCATGAGCTCAAGGTATAGGCGCTGTTGAACGGACGGGTTAAGCGCTAATTCGTATGTCAGAAATGTTAGGTAGACGCTGTGGAGTGATACCCGGCCACCAGAAACATGACCGCCTGTGCCAGCACCTCGTTTTCAGTTAGTTTTTTATTAAGGGGACCGGTAGGCAAAACATTGGTGTGAACATCCAGTTCCACTTCATCTACTTCTGAAAAGTTTAGCAATTTTAAATGTAGCATGCTAATATTAAACATTATTACATAAATTACTCTAATAAGTAGTGTGGTTATTTGTACCTTGGTCACCATATTCACAATCAGTAGTGACAGCGCTGTCCGCCCTATCCATAGGTAGTTCCGCATCCATAAGCAGTTTCATAAAATCATTCCTTTTATCGTCCATTTGGCGCCGATTAGCCATAACCTCCCGAACCGTGTTTACGAAAAAATCTCGCGCACTCTGATCGCCCGTTCCCCACAATATCCATTTCGGAAATATTAGCCTGGACAAATTTTTAACCAACCCTGATTCTACCGCTTTATTTGCCATGGTAACAAACGGACTGACACGTTGACTATTATATGCATCAATATCAATGTCAAGAGTTACCCTGGCTATTAAGTCCATAGCGTAGGCGCCCATAGAGGTCAGTACGTCGAGCTGCGCATTATTCTCGGCGCATGCGCTGTCCAAATGTTGCGCATAATCACGCAAACAGTGCGCGTATGTTTTACTTATCTTTCCGGTGGTGAATGTGGGCGACACTATCTCACGTATACGCCGCCAGTCGTCGCCACTCGTGTCCGATAAAAACTTTTGACTTATGGGGTGCCGACCGCTCATGGGTTTCAGTCGCCAGTCCGTGAATACGTGGAAATCCTTGACTAATATCTGTTTTATAAGCACAGGATCGGCTATAGATAATATGGGGCTGTTTAAAAGGTAGTATATGGGTAAAAATAAGATACAAGATCAATTACAGTCTAAAATACTGTACTGCGCAAACTAGATAATAGCATTATCTGCATGAATTATCCATGGTAATTATTTATATACTAATTGAAATACCCGTAAAGTTTTCCATATCTTGATAACCAATTAATCTCTTGTATGGGTTGAGGGGTAGTGAAGAACTGTAGAAAATTACCGAATATAGGGATAGGTTTAGGGCCAGGGATGCCTCGTATGGACCAGTAGTTGAGGTTAGGAGCCAAATGTCTGTTTATTGTAAATTATTTTCTAATTAAACATAATGCTAATTTATTTCGACGTATTTATTTTCATTTACCTATAGATTATAAACCCAATTAATATTAGCAACGTTGTCAACACAAAAATAATATATAATTTCTCCATTTTAAGTTTTACAATCATTTTAAATAATATTAGCTTGTTATTTAATGAACAAGGATGTATATTAAATAATATATTTTCTAAACCTTAAATATGTTATATCATTTTAAAAATAAAAAGTCAAAACTGGTTATCCAAATGTAATAATTATTATATTCATTTAAATTTCTTATATTATTTTTTCAAAATTCTTTATTAGTATGATTATTTAATTATAATTAAATGTGCAAAAATTTTAATTGAATTAAATTATTTTTAAAATATTAATCATATCCATGATTTATGATCCAGTCAGGTATGTACCGTACTTAAATTAATATGTTCATACTTAAGTATTAAAATAATCTTTATCATATTTATAGTCAAGGTATGGAGCAAAATAAAAAAACTTCCAGGATTACTAAAGCAATTCATACATGGTTGTCTGATTTGCCTAATATTATACCAGCATTTGGTATAATATGCGCTATAATTTGTACGCTATTTTTATAATGAAAAGTAATAAATTAGACTTATAATATAATTTTAATATGATATTAAATTATACACAAGCTTCTACATTATATTCACTGTTAACACTTATATCAAAATATTTGCAAGATGTACCGGTTACTGAAGTACTGATAGTCAGGTAGGACAAATATATCTTATTTTAAAAATATTAGCATGATTAATAAATTATTAATATTATAATAATATTAATTTTTTATACTTTATATAAATGTTAGGGTTTATTTCAATAATATCTAATATAGCTAACTTAATTATAAGAAAACATTTTTCCAACATAGATATTTGGGTCAATTTTTATTTTTTAACCTTTTCACTATATTAAACATGCGTAATATTACACCTCTGAGCAAGGAACTTTGTAAAATCTTATTCAAATACAGTATTTGTATGGGATTGGGACTGGTGTTACTGTTTAATGCCTATCGTATGTTACTCCTATCTGAAGTGGACTCAATATTGATGTCTAACATGATATTTGTCACTGGATTCGCGTATTTTATGCTCAAGGACCCGATTACCCTGGTACACATTGGCACAGGTATATTGACCATGATAGGTGTGCTTTTGACATGTCGACCCCAATTTATATTTGGCATAAACTACAAAGACAACCTTATTGATAATAATCAACGAATGTACGGTATTGCAGTGACATTAGCTTGCTCATTTGTATTATCTCTTTCCAATGTTTATCTACGCATGTTAAAATCAATTTCAATAACAATACCATGCACAGCAAGTTCAATTACGATAGTTATAATCAGTTGTATCTACCAAACAAACGTAGTAGGATGGATCATGCCTACAGGAATAGTAACATGGTCTATTTTACTATCTCAAGTATTTTTAGGTTCAGTGGCTATTTGGATTGGCGTATTAAGCACTCGTTACGTATCACCAGGGCCGTTATCAATCATTTATGGCTTTTCAATCGTGTTATCATTTGTATGGGATATGACTATATTTGGTGAACGTATTATATGGACGTCAATAGTGGGCTCAAGTCTTGTCATCACTGCTATAGTAATCATAGCGATGAATAACATACGACAGGAATCGCCCGAAAAGTTTCGGGAATTTATTTCTGGAAAAATCTGTTGCATTGGCAACGCTAGTGATAATAATACAATTTAACTAGTTTATCCATTTATTTATATTCTATTAATTTTTTGATGACGTTATTTAACAAAATTATTAGCATGAACATAATTAAATATTAATTGGCTACGTTAGATCTTAAATAATTATTATCTTTTTGAAAGTATAGTGTTCATTTAAATTTTAAAACATTTTAAAGATTTAACTTAAACAATTAATATCAACTATTAAAATAAAATTCAATTTGATTTGGATAGTTTGTCATATACAGGCTAGCCATACTAATCTTGAATTTTAATTATCAGTTACATAAATACACTGTCCATAGCCATACAGGTATACACAAATAATTTTAGCAGCACAGTGACAAATTTTTTTAATCTTAAATTGCCTTAATCCAAATAAACATCACATGATTTAACGCAATGTACATGCAGGTATAAATTGATTTCAAAGGTTACTTTAATTTATCCTGTTCGATATCTTTTATTTTTTTATCAAAATAATTGTATTTGAAAATATAATTAAAAATTAAAAATACCATTAAATTGACATGACATTACATTTTACTTATAAACTGTGATCAGTTATAAACAAACTATTTCTTTCTTTAATTAAAAATCCTAAATATTAATCAATTTTAACAAAAAATATACCAAAATGTTCAGGGATAATGAAATTTTTATATCTGTATTAAAGAATAGCCATAAGTTATTTGCCTTTATTATAAATAGCGAGTAAACGTGTGAACACGCGTTTCAAGTGAATGCCCAAAATCACTGGTTCTTAACAGTGCTCTCAAACGCAAAGCAGTGAAAGTTCGCAACAATTGAATCAATGCTTCCATTCATAGCACTGTTAGGAATCATGCATTTTATGTGTACTCGAAACGCGTGTTCGCACGTTTACTCGTTATTTATAATCAAGGCCAATAACTTATGGCTATTCTGATTATGTCTATATTTTTAAAGTAATAGGGACTTGTAAAACCATATAAAAAACAATTTTAACTAATTATAAATCATAAAAATTAATTCCTTTCTTTATCAAACAAATATTGACTAGTGTCATATATTATATGACGATATTTTTTACAGGTATAGCATTATATAAATTGGTTATCGCCAAGAAACATTTACCACTATTTATGTATACTAAATATAATTTTAATTTAGCATTGCCAAAATGGATAAAACTATTCAAACTGTACGAGGTGTAAATTTTCCCAAAATACCAGATTTATCTCTTGAATCCATTGAATTCGCGCTGAACTACCAGCCCGGACATGGCGATCGTATTTTAATGATTTGGGAGTCCCATTAAATGTTTACTAAATACTTATTTATTTTAACCAAGAATTTAATATGTAATTTATTAAAATTCACAAACTAACTAGTTATACTTAATATTAAACTATTAAATGATTAAATTATCTTGATGGAAAAATTTATTTATTAGGTAGTAGTGAATTTAAATAGAATTAATTAATTAATAATAAAATTAAATAAATAAATAAAATTAATAAAAGAAATTAGAGGCACTTATTTGATTATTAACCAAGATGTATTTTTTGTTATAAAAATGAGATACCATTAACTTGAACTAGTGTTACCAACTCGAAATTTAAAATTCGTGGATTTTCATGTAAATATTTCATATAATAACTGGACAATCCTGGACACATGTTATAAAGCCATATTTGGCATATAAAATTTTATCTCTGTCCCTTTAATATAATACTTATTTTTATTTTGATAAAATTTGAGTTATATATCTAAATTAATTTTAAATTGATATTTTAATATTTTAAGTTATTATAAATTTTGTTCTGATTTTAAACCTAATTTAAAATTAATTACAAAAGATGTACTGAACAATTATAGATTTACCCATTCTCGCTTTAAATAAACCAACTAGTTATTAATAAACTGAAGGTAATACCATTTAACTAATTGACTACTAATAATTCTAGTAAATAGTTCATAAATTATAATAATAATTAAATAATATTCTAAGATAAAAAATTATTAATAACTTGTTGATTGATAACTGATTGATAACTATAGGATAATATAAGATTGTGTGTCGGATTATTAAATCTTATTTAATACAAAATATAAATTTACCCAAAAAACAAAACAAGATTTTAATATTAACTAAAAAGTATTTTGAGTTCTTATCATAAATCTATTAAATATGTCTAAAAATATGGATATTTTTAAGTTAACATTTCTTTCACGCCATTCCTGGACATTACATTGTCCAGGTGAGACCTTGCGGACCTGTGACCTGCCTATGGGATTAAGGACCTGTCAGGTCCAGTTTGGACCTGCCAACCAGTGTCATTGAACTTGGTAGAAAAGATTAGCAAATTTATGCTTTTGTAATAAAAGTTGTGTTGATAAGAATTATTGAATAGAAATACATTTTTAACAAACTTTAACTTTAACAAATAATTGTGCGCTTGGTCTAACGGTTAGGATGCCTGACATGTAATCAGGAGGACCCGTGTCCAAGTCCCGGGGGCGAACTTTTAATACAAGTTGTCTTTTCAATAATTTCTAATACTTTCCGCACATTTATCTGATGTAAAAATAAGTTATTAAAAAAACATATCAAACTTTAACTTTAATTTGTTTAAAATATTAAATACGTTTATCGTTCGGACCTATCGTCCGAAGCGGTAGCGTGCGATCACGTGACACAACGAGCGCCCTATCACGAATAGGCCGAACCGCGTGCCGATACAACTGCGACGCCCGGCCCCAAACGGTAGGTACGCGTAGGGCACGAGCCTAGAGGCATTTTCGGGCATAAATCTGTCCGGGTTAAATTTGTTGGGTTCGCTGTAGTTTGTCTACAAACGACAAGATTCTAAAAAAGCTTTTCCTCGTCAAAAGCTTATACAAACAACTTTGTATATTTTGAAAAGTTAATAAATAATAATTACCCGTATATTTTGTCGTATTTCATGGCCCAATTAAGGTCTGGCATTGCTTGGTAATTAATGAAATAACTCGCAAAGTTGCCAATTATTGGTAGAGGTGCTGGTCATTTATTCCCAAATTGCGAAAATAATTAAAGTCCTTAACTAAATATCTAATATTTAATAGTTGACATCTTAATATTGGTATTGAACATTTATAAACGTTTTTTTAAAGAATCATTTCATTCAGTTAAACATACACATTTTGTAATTTATAATAGGGCGGCCTTTTTAAAAATAATTAGAGCTATTATTTACAAATATTTATTTTAATATTATATTTAAATTCTTTATATAACAGGAATTATAACAGGAATTATATACAAAGATTAATAGATTTAAGAAAATATATACAACTTGCTAAATTATGTTTATAGTTAGATTTTGATAATTACCTGTAAATTGCAATGACAACAATGAAACAAATAAATATTAATATAATTAGAAAATCCATTCAAAGATTAATTGTCGTGGTACTTATTCAATTAATAAATTATTAATAAAATACGAACTACATAAAATTTTGAAAAATTAATGGTCAATAAAATGGGTGCGGGTCTATTGACCTAAAAACCAATGACCTAAACTTAAATAACTTAATGACCGGTAGGTAAATATACCTGATGACCAGTGTAAAATGTTCCCCTTGACCTAACCTAATTTTACCTATCTTTAAAATGGTCAAAAGTCTATTGGTCATTAAGTTATTTAAGTTTAGGCCAATTGGTTTTTAGGTCAATTTGCCAGTTCCCGAAAATTTACAAAAGAAAATAATTAATAATGCAATTGTTTGTGATCAAAGAGGTTCAAATCCCACTGTTTCTCAAATCTCAGATAATGTTTGGTATAATTTAAAGTTATTTTTAAATATATTTTTCCCAAAACAATGTCTTACTATAAAAGCAATCACAGAAATAAATTATTTTTAGTTAATTCAGATTTAAATGCTAAAAAGTTATATCATCTGTTTATTGGGCATTATTATGAGAAATTCAATGAAAACTTGAAATTAAGTTACTGTATGTTTGGCCAACATTTTAGCACTAATTATAACATTGGTTTTAAACCTCAATCTATAGATAAATGCAATTTTTGTGAAATTTATGCGAAAAATAATGATTTTATAACAGAATTTGAGTCACATTTATTAGAGGTTCAAGAATATAATTATCTGAAAAAAGGTTTAATAAGTAGTAATAAAAACTTTTGTCTGGAATTTGATTATTGTTCAAGCAAAGGTTTGCCAAAATTAAATGTAAATGTGTAGACATATAACCAAATGACTTTTGGAAAATAGCATTTACTATATATTATATTTTTATAATAGATTTTCTCTACAATGAATAGTTTTTGGCCAGGGAGGACGGGTATACCATTAAAACTGAATTTTAAATAATTTTATAAGCAAGAGGAATTGGAATATAGCAAAGTTATGATATGGAAAATGTAGGGAATTCAATCCTCTTTCATATAAAAATTTGAAAAAATTTCGGTAATTTATAGCACCGGGAGGAAAGGCAGATTTATTGTAGATTTAATATATATGATAGCGTAAATCTAATTTGTGAGTTAGATAGAGTTTGAAAAATGAACAGGATTCACATTTTAAATTTTTCAAATATCTGTAAATGTCTATGTGCTAGGACACCTTAAAGTTTTCAAATTTGCATTGACTTTTGCCATAAGTAAATATTGCTGCAATAAGAAAAGTGATATTTATTTTCTTATGGCAAAAGTCAATGCAAAGGATACTGTTATAAAAGCATTACGAGTTTCCTAAGCTGGCATTTTTGATTTGTTGATTGGAAATGAAAGTCCATTCAATGCTGAGTCCGAATATGTAATTTATATTGTCCTGTGACCTCGGGTTCGGCCGCAATGACCCCTTTTACCGGGAATATTTTTCATAATAAATATGGACA